AGTGTCTTTGGCTGCTGTTTATTTGCGTTTTTTCTAAAAAATAAATCTGTAACCGGGAGTTTTTTTTTTTTAATGCAGTACAGTATACTGTAGTATTTTTCTATGTCACACCTGTTTGGCAACTGTGGTCCTGTGGGGGCGCCATCTTGGGATGTTTTGCTTGTAATTCCTGGTGTGTTTACTGATCCTGTGACAATATTAGAGCAGCCTGACTGAGTGACAAACACTGGAGTTTGCGGATTATAAAGCTGTGCTTCCAAAAAGCTGTAGGAAAAACAAAGGTGGCTAATTAGCTGTGGGTTTGTCACCAGTGACTCAAACCACATGATCCACCTAGTGGTGGGTGTGAAAAACACAGAAATGTAGATGTTGCGGTGTACAAGTTTTATTTATTTTTTTTGTTTCATTTTATTTATTTATTTTTTAACTATACCTCTTCTGTTTTACGACCAAGTGTTAATCCAGGCCAGGGCCTCGCCTCGCCTCCCCCACCACTGGGTGCTGTATCTCTTGTGCACAGAGGTTATAAAAACAACTTGTATTCAATATACAGAAATGCAGCCAGTGTTCATTTACTTTTATAGCTCTTATAGATTTAAACTGCAGACTCCGTGCTGCTGCTGCTGCTGCTGCTGCTGCTGCTGCCGTGACACTGCAGATACAGACTTTAATATTTCAGCTGTGTGTGTGCGTTCATTCGTTCGTTCGTGTTGCGAGCGCTCGCATCACGCCATGATAAAGTAATGACAGTGATCAGTGGGGGCTGGTCACTGGGATGTGAAGGTCAGCAGTTGACCACACAGCTGCCGCTGCTGCTTCTGTTTTTCATTAAAGGGAGGAAGAGAGGGGAGAGGAGGGGAGAGGAGGGGAGAGGAGGGGAGAGAGGTGAGAGAGCAGCGCAACATTTTTCCCTCGTGTTTGCTCAGGCTCGCGGTTTTTAAAGCGCTGCCAACAAAGCCATGACGGATCCTGTGAAAACGCGAATAAATACCGATGATGCCGTCCGGTCAGGGGAGATATTTGTTTACTGCGTTAACGGCCGTTTGTTTTTTACTCAGGGCTGACAGGAAGTTGTTTCAATTCATGTTGAAATACAAATGTTAGTGGAACATTCAGAGGATTTTTCTCTTTGCACTTCAACCGAGGAGTCAGAGTCCATTTGTGGTAGATTTGTCCATTTGGTAAATCTGCATTAAGGTTGTCCAGTCAAATGACCTCAGTTATTGAACCTAGAGATTCAAATAGGACGGAGTCTGAGTCTATTTAAACACACACGTGTCTGTATGTCCAGTCGGTCAGCGAATAGCGAACAGCGTGTTCTATTCATCCATCCATCCATCCATCCATTATCCATCCATCCATCCATCTATCCATCCATCCGTCCATCCATCCATCCATCCATCTATCCATCCATCCATCATCCATCTATTCATCCATCCATCCATCCATCCATCATTCATCCATTCCTGCCCTTCTGTCATCACTCAGCTGTTGGTTTCGTCTCTAACACATCAGTGAAGTCAA